GTCCCAAGCAGACTCCACGCTAAGCATGGAGCCTGACATAGGGCTCGATCTCACCCTGAGATCACGACCTGAGCCAAAACCAACCAACTGAGCCACCCAGGCACCACTGTTTACCAGCTTTAGAGTTTATATATGAATGCTTAGAAAAGTATAAAAAGATACTAGTCCATTCCATTATATTATGATTATTAGTGTTGTTAACTGTATTTTTTGTTACATATTCCTTAATACCAGAAGGGGAAAGCAGGATTGTAAAACCAAAAGACATAGGCATACTAGAAAATGCAAGGAAATTTTAGGAAACAGCACTGTATAGACAGTAGTGGGTGAAAAAATCAGGGGCGAATGACTCTCTTATAACAGATGTATCACCAAAATGGGCTGAACTGAGACCAGGCTTCACATATAAACAATATGGAATAGTCCCTACTGATCTTCTCATCTACAAATATATACCTGGCTATCACTTCAGTGGAAACATCTTTGTATTTGAAGGGCAAAGAAAGAAGTGTGTGTGATTAAAAGTGTATATTAAAGTTAGTCTTTGGGGACGCCTGGGTGGCTCAGTCGGTTAAGTGTCTGCTTCTGCTCAGGTTATGATCTCAGAGTCCTGGGGTCGAGCCCCCCATTGGGCTCTCTGCTCAGTGGGGAGCCTGCTTCTCCCTCTGCCTCTGGCCCTCCCCCCCTGCTCCTGCTCTCGCTTTCTCACCGACGTACTCTCTCTCTCAAATAAATAAAATCTTTAAAAAAAATAAAGTTAGTCTTTGCCCCCCCCAAATAATTGTACATTGGTAATAATAAAGAGGTAAGATGCAAGGAAATGCACATGTCCTAGAGGTATAGCTAACAAAATAATGTGACACACCATGCTGGTTCTGGTGTGATGCTACTGATATACTCAGAATGCTCATGCAGGTGTAAGCTTTTTCAATTTGAGGTGGAATTCCTTTTGTAGGAATTCCATTTTATTGCAAGGCAGTAATCCAGAAAAGGACAATAATACAAAAAATTAGAAAACCATCTAAATATAAGAGAATGGTTAGGTAAATTGTAATACATCATTGCAAGGCAATATGCTGCCATCAGAAGTTGTACTGATACTGGGTAAATGTTTTTCAACTTTCACACATTATACATTCATATGCCAAAGTGTTTTATATGTTACCCAGCTCAACATTTCTCAAACTTCAGTTCTGTATTTTCATGGGTTCCATGTATTGACTTAAATAATTTGAATTATAATGCTGTTTACATATAAAATGAAACTAGGTAATGCTCTGAATGCTTACGCTACTATAAAACCGAAACCAATTTACTAATGAAATAAGCAACCAGGAAAATAGTAACTGAAAAGATGAATTTAGGGCACCTGGGTGGCTCAGACGGTTAAGCGTCTGCCTTTGGCTCAGGTCATGATTAAAAAAAAAAAGATGAATTTAATGTGAAAATGGTATTTTGCTAAAGCCAGATTTCTGCTCTCAGCATAAATAAAGTACCCTTCCAGCAGGTTCTTTTTTGAGTGTGGCGCACCTGCACAGGTGGGTATTGTGAGATGACTCACTTTTCATCATGTTGCTCTCCTCAGTGCACTCTGAAATCTCTTTATACCACGGTGATCAGGATATCATTTTGTTTTTATTTGGCAGTACATCATTTGGTATTAGAATCATTTATTTTTCCTGATTAACTCAAGCCGATTGAACTAGTCCTATGTTGCCAACTAGATTGTTAACACAACATGGCAGTGAGCACTGAAATCTTTTGGCAACAGTGAATTACAAGGTGGTCATCCAGATGATCCAGATTATGCTTATGTTATGATGTGTCTAAAATGAAAACTCAGGGGGCTCCTGGCTGGCTCAGTCAGTAGAGCCTGTGACTCTTGATCTTGGGGTCGTGAGTTCAAGCCCCATGTTGGGTGTAGAGAATACTTAAAAAAAAAATGAAAACTCAAAATTAAACTCAGAGCTTGCTAATCTCTGTGAATATATCTATAGGCCTATGAACCCTAGGTGATTTAACTAGTTATTTTGAACTGCTGGTTTGTGCTGCTGCTAGACTCTGCCACTGGGGAGAAAAAGGGGGTCTCATTTGATTTTGTCCCTTCCTACCATTAGCCTTCTGTTCCTCACAACCACCAAGCGTGATGAAGGCAAGAGAGAGTAGCTCAGGTATTCAGGAAGGTAGCAATGGGAAGGCCTGACCAGGTGAAGAGAATAACTGACAGAGATCTTACTCAGTTTGTGTTGCAATGACTTCCTTTCTCCAGTGCAGAGTTGTAAAGATTTCCCTGCACTGATCTGTAACTTGGGCAGGGTTAGTGAGTCAACCTTCAGAAAGGTGAGTGCCGGGTCCAGCTTCCCAATTCTGGCTGATAGAGTGGCTGGTGGAGTCCTGAATTGAGAATAGATATTCTCTCTTTCCTCCCCACTTCCTGCCTCATGACACTTGAATCTCTTATTTGTCTTTATTAACTTTCATATTTTTTCAGGGATATTATATGAAAATACATGGTCTTTAGAATACTTGATGTTCAGTTGATGGTATTGGGACAGTAATCTGGAAAATAAACTTTATTGCTCAAATACTAAAATAAACTCCAAATGGATTAGCATTGAAAGTAAACAGTGAGGGGCACCTGGGTGGCTCAGTCAGTTGGGCATCTGCCTTCGGCCCAGGTCATGATCCCAGGGTCCTGGGATCGAGTTCCGCATCGGGCTCCCTGCACAGCGGGAAGTCTGTGTCTCCCTCTGCCCCTCCCCCCCTCATATTCTCTCTCTCTCTCTCAAATAAATAAAATCTTAAAAAAAAATCTTAACTGTAAAATAAAAAAAAAGTAAACAGTGAAACCAGTAATTACTATACAGAAACATTGGTTCATGTTTTTTGTTGTTTTTGGTGCAAAAAGGTGATTTTATTAAAGCACGGGGACAGGACCTGTGGGCAGAATGAGCTGCCAACATTGGTTCATGTTTTAAAAATCTTTGCAAAAGGTAGTATCAGAAACACTTTAAGTGTATAACAATAGAAATTAGAGTATGATAAATCTCTACCATGATGTGCCTTTTATTTATTTATTTGACAGAGAGAGACAGCGAGAGAGGGAACACAAGCAGGGAGAGTGGGAGAGGGAGAAGCAGGCTTCCTGCCGAGCAGGGAGCCCGATGCGGGGCTCGATCCCAGGACCCTGGGACCATGACCTGAGCCGAAGGCAGACGCTTAACGACTGAGCCACCCAGGTGCCCCGGACCATTAAATATTCTTGAAGTGTATTTATGGATACATATGTTATGGAAAGATGCTCATAATATATCATTAAGTGAAAAGTAGTTCATTACAGAATTATAAAAGAGCCAAGATCTAATATCGTTTACTAGGTTGTAGACACACTACTAAGTTCTTTACAGCTTTTATTTCATTTGCTCTTCATATATGATCCTGTTTTTTTGTATATATATATTCAATCACATATACATTCGTAGAAGACAGGTTTTCTTATAACTTTTTAACAGTTTTATTGAGGTATAACTGACATAAAATGTGTATATTTAAAGTGTACGATCAGTTCAGGCATTTAGATACACTCATGAAACCATCAACAAAATCAATATAATAAACATCTGTCACCCCCAAAAGTTTCTTTGCTCACCCCTGGTAATGCTTCCTTCATTCCTCTTTTCCCCCCACCTCTACTAACTGTCCCATTGTCCCCAGGAAGCCAATGATCTACTTTCTGTCATTATAAATTAGTTTGCATTTTCTAGAATTTTATCTTGTTTTATTTTTTAAAGATTTTATTTATTCATTTGACAGAGAGAGACACAGTGAGAGAAGGAACACAAGCAGGGGGAGAGGGAGAAGCAGGCCTCCCACTGAGCAGGGAGCCCGATGCGGGGCTCAATCCCAGGACCCTGGGGTCAGCCGAAGGCAGACGCTCAATGACTGAGCCACCCAGGCGCCCCTAGAATTTTATATAATGGAGTCCTACAGCATATACTTTTTTGGTCTTTCTTTTCACTCAGCATAATTATTTTGAGATTCATGTATGTTGGGCATATCAATAGTTCATTCCTTGTCATTGCTAAGTAATATCCTGTACCATAATTCAATTGAACTAAATTACATGCAAATATATTCCTCTCCATGATTTAGGAGAGTTATACAGCAATTTTCATAAAATTTGTAAGGCAGTAGTACCTTTGTTTCTGTGTGGAAAAGAGCTATTGAGTGTGTGAATTCCAAATGTAATGATTGTAGGAAAGGTGGTCTTCTTGAGGTGTGAGGATATGTACAGGAGACAACCTGCTGTCAGTGCAAATTGAGGAGAAACTTAGGAAGAGCCTGGAAAGACATTCTGTATTTGTGATTGTGGGAATTTTTAAAGGTTTCTGGATATATCACATGAAGGTCTACTGTAACGGTAATTCCAGGTAACCTGCTGATTGAAAAGATTATTAAACTAGATATCAGAAGATATGCATTGTAATCCCAGTTGCACCACCTATTAGCTGTATGACCTTGATTAAGTCGTATCACCTCTCTGAGATTCATATTCTTTAAATAAGGGAGGATAAGAACTTTGGGTCTCTGTCAGTCCTGCTAATTATGTAATGCAGATTGTACTCTAGAGAAGGGTAGCCATCTCATTGAGGGAAGAGAGAGTGGGAGCTGAAATCCAGTGTCCTCTGCCACAAGCTATGTGCCCTAACATCAGGTGTATCTGCTCAGAGCAGGGGTGCCTTTTTCAAATTTTCGTAGAGGCCTGCTAATTCACCAAGCAGTGCACAGCAGCGCTGAGTCTTCCTGGAATGGAGGGACTGGGGGCTGCATGAGATGCTTAATTTGCTCAAAGAGGCTGTATAGACAGTGGCGGCTGTCTGTTCTTACCTCACAGGATTGGTATAGAGAACAATGAGATTGTGTGAAAGTGCTTTGAAAAGTTTTGTATTACACAAATATCATGTCTTGCTATTTTGCTGTTCGTCTGTGGTTTACTTTAGGGTAGATACAACAAGAATTGAATACTCCATTCCTTTAAGAGAAAACTGGGCACTACCATATTTCGCATGCCAAATCGCTGCACTTACAGGCTATTTAAAAAGCAACTTAAATACTTATGGAGAGGTAAGATACAAATTTATTTGTCACAGTTAATTTTGATGTGTTGCAAATGTGGTATAAAATTTTAAAGTTAATCATATTAAACAGTTAAGTTATAATCGGTGAAGCCTAATTACTACATCTATAAAGAATATATTTAGGTAGTCCTATTATATAACACTGTTAGTCGAGTCTGATAGATGGTAAATTATTTTAAGGAAAAAGATGTTATATTGTTTCAGTGCAATTACTTGACAAAAATATATGAAGAATATATTATTTTGAAAATTAGTCTCATTAATTTACCATTTTCTGTAATATTGATGGCTTTTAGTCATTGCAAATAAGGAAATATTAATGAAGATACAAAGAGTGACTACAAATGGCAGTAATGTTAACTTTTATGGTAGCACTGCCTATTTTCTCTTTTCTGTTTTTCTGGCAACCACTGCTCTGTTCTCTATCACTATGATTTTGTCATTTTGAAAGGTTATACAAATCGAATTATATAGTATGTTATCCTTCAAGACTGGCTTTTTTCATTTAGCCTAATGCCCTTGACATCCATCTGAATTGTTGCTTTCTATCAATAATTTGCTTGTTTTCATTGCTGAGTAGTATTACAGCAATATGTGTATTTTATTTTATTTTATTATTATTTTTAAAGATTTTATTTATTTATTTGACAGAGAGAAAGATAGCGAGAGCAGGAACACAAGCAGGGGGAGTGGAAGAGGGAGAAGCAGGCTTCCTGCCAAGCAGGGAACCCGATACAGGGCTCGATCCCAGAACCCTGGGATCATGACCTGAGCCACAGGCAGACGCTTAATGACTAAGCCACCCAGGCGCCCCAGCAATATGTGTATTTCAGTCACATATTTTTTAGTTTGCTTCCCATTCTTGAGGCTAGATCTTGTGGTCCCAGTTGCATAAAGATATTGAAGCTCAGATATTTTGTGCAGTTATCTGGAACCATCTAGGGACATCTGTGGTTGATTACTGAAACACATTTAATGTGTCAAGTAATATGTATAAAATAGTTCACAATAAAGACAGTTGAAAATGAAGTGAGCAAGGTAAGGGGTAGATAAGAGTGCACAGATTTTTGAAAATGTTCAAAGGAACAAAGCTAGAAAGGAAAAACATAGCTAATTGTCCAGATTGTGTTTGACATATATTTCTGTCTTATCTCACTGCATGTTCTTTAGAGTAGTTGAGAATAAACCCTTGGAATTAGCAATTTGCTTCATTATACTGTAGTTTTTTCCCTAGTATCCCTGAAGTAATATCCACATGTCTAGTAGATTAATTAGGCTAGATCTAGATCTGAGCCTTCATTGATTTCTGGAACTGGTTTCTCTGAGGATGATGGTTTCAGGCCTTGTTATTACAGTTCTGGTTGTTCCACATTAGAAGTTTCCAGAACACTTTCTCTTATAGCTGTGGTGATATGAAGAGCAGAAGCTATGTGTTCTGTCAGTGCTAAGCTCTTCTGGGCCTGGCAGTTGGTATTTATTCTTTGACCAACTGGTAGAATTTTTCCATCTCTTACATTTTGTTCTCTGGTCTTAATCTTATTCAGGGTGCTGGAAAATCCTTATATCTGCTGATGGCCTGAGGTATTTCTGACTCCGAAATTTATCATTGAGTATAGTCAGCTGAGTCTGAAAGATTAAGTTTTAGAGAGTATGGTTGTTATCTCAGGTTTGACTAGACCCTTATTGCCTTTCTCCTTTGCTATTCTTATCAGAGCAGTCATTTGACATCATGGCTGGTGGAAAACTTGGGAATAAAAATGCAGATCCCTGGAGGAAGTAGAGGTTGTGAGAAATATACTAAGGAACAGTGGATTTGTCAGACTTGGTTTCTCACTAAGGGATCACTTGAGAGATGACATTTGGAAGGACAGAAATTATTTCAGCCAAGTACTTTCCAGGCAAGGGCAAGAAGTCCTTGTGTTTAGTACCTTAGCAAAGGAAAAGAGAGATTTACATGGTTGACAGTATAAGCACTGGGGAAAGGTAAGGCACGCTTTCACTGAGAAGCAATAAAAAAAGCAATGGGCTTTTTTCCATGGACTGTGTAGTAGGCTGAGATGTAAACAGACTATTTAAATGGAAACTCTTAGGGAAATATGAAGCACCACAGAAGTGAAAATATTTTCTAGGGTGAATGGAGTTACTTTCACAATAACAAAAGCCCATCAGCCAAGTCTAGAAAAAGCCACCATTTTCTTATGCTTATTACTTTACCTCTTTTGAGATGAAAGTGTACTGAATTTTTTCCCTTTGTCATCCTGAAATTCTCAATATGATGTTGAACTTTAAAGGACAAGTGGTTGATTTCTGTCTGTGTGCTTTATTGAAGATCTTATTGTTTATGTAAGGGTTTAGCAATAATTATGTAACTTAAAAAAGAAGTTTCTAGAATTATATAGCTTAAAGTAAAACCAGTAACAGAGCTTCAACTTTGAGGTAACAACCTCATAGATTTCTATAGTAATAAAGCTACTGATACTTAGTTTCTTTCTTTTGTTTTCCCTAGAGGTTTTGCTGCTTGTTGATGAGCGCTTCAACTTACACGTTTATGATGATGTGGGAGTACAGCCACTATCTCTTATTTCTTCAGGCGGCATCTCTGTTCTTGCTAGATAGCTTTTCACTGGAGCAAAGTGACAAGGTATTTTGAATTTTGAAGTTGTGATTTTAAATCCAGAGAATAAATGTTTTCATAGTATTGTATCTTAAGATCATTTAGCTTCTAAGCTTTATTCTGAAATATTTTAATAGGCCCTGACTTATAATTCTACGCAAAAGATTGCTAAACTCATTCTCCCTGCCCTTTTAGAAACACTTTGAAATTCTGTTAAAGAAGGTCTGCTTAACCAGTCAACCATGTGCTTCTTCTCCATTTCTAGCCCTTGCGCCTTCCCTTTCTATTTCTTTAAAAAAGAAAAAGAGTGAAATATAGAACATGCACAAAAAAGTATATGTATGCTGTGTATATATACCGTGCAGAATAAAATATGAGTATTTGACCATCCAGGCCAAGAAATGGAACATTGGAATACCCAGAAGTCCCTCTCTTAATATTCCCAGTCACATCCTGCTCCCTCCCCAACAGAGGCTTGCTGTCCTGAATTTTGTTACTCCTTTCCCCTGTTTCTTTATGGGTTTTACCACTTATCTAGATAGTCCTTAAAAAATATGCTGTAAACAATGTATTGTTTACTTTTATCTGATTTGCTTTTGAGATTCACTCATGATGATGTACAGAGCTAATTTCATTCACTTTTATTTATTTATACATTTTATTGTTAATGGACACTTCATTTTTTCCAGCTTATTGTCCATATAACCAGTGCTGCCGTAAACATTCTTACCTGGCACTAAGTGCAAGATTTCTCTGGAGTATATATCTCATAGTGGAATTACAAGTCAAAGGATATGTGCATATTCAACCTAACTAAATACTAAGCCTTTGTCCAGAATGGTTATAGCAGTTTATATAAGTGCCATCAGCATTTGGTTCCTTTCTTTATCTTTTTCTTTTTCACCCCTCTCTCATCTTTCTTTCATTTATAAACATTTATTAAGTATTTAATATGTTGTCCAAGCCAGAAATTTGGGGATCTTCTTTTTTTTTTTTTTAAGATTTTATTTATTTATTTTAGAGAGAGAGAGAAAGCATGAGCAGGGGGGAGGGGCAGAGGGAGAAGCAGGCTTCCCGCTGAGCAGGGAGCCTGATGCGGGGTCAGGTCCTGGGATCAGGACCTGAGCCAAAGGCAGACGCCTAGCCGACTGAGCCACCCAGGCGCCCCAGAAATTTGGGGATCTTCTTGCTCTTTCTTTTCTTTATCCTGTATATTTAGATGATCCAGAATCCTGATGAATACAAACATTTAGATTAATTGAATAGAGAGAATTGAACATAAAGAATCATTAATCAAATATAATGTCATTATCTTGTTAATTGAAAGGGTAGTAAGAACCCAAAAGTATCATAGAGGTAGCAGTTTGCAGGAAGCAGCTACCACCACCAGAGCTGAGGGAGCAAAGGGGAGAATTTGGAATTATTAAAACTTCAAAACTTGGGGGCGCCTGGGTGGCTCAGTCGTTAAAGCGTCTGCCTTCGGCTCAGGTCATGATCCCAGGGTCCTGGGATCGAGCCCAGCATTGGGCTCCCTGCTCAGCAGGAAGCCTGTTTCTCCCTCTCCCACTCCCCCTGCTTGTGTTCCCTCTCTCGCTGTGTCTCTCTCTGTCAAATAAGTAAATAAAATCTTAAAAAAAAACAAAAAAACCCTTCAAAACCTAGAGGAGGGACCCCTGTGGGGCTGAAACTCAGACTTCTAATGCAGGGCCGCTGCCCAGCTTTGCTGGTGTGTCTGACCTGGAAAGAAGGGCCCCATGGAAATGGAACCCAGACCTCTGTGAATGGGGCTCTGGCTAACTGGCCCTGGGGTCTCGGGGGCAAGAGAATGTGATAAAGCTGGTTCTTCAAGTGTTGGACAAACTGCACCTGCATTCAGCTGCTTCAACTAGAAGGAATTGCTCTGTTGGAGTGGAGAAGTACTGCCGATAGGATACTCACAGGAACTGCAAAGCAGACAGGAGGCCACCAGCTCCTCCTTTCTCCCCCAACCTTGTCATCTCTCTCTAGCATTTCATATTGACAGAGTTTAATAGTGAGCCAACTGGAAAAGCAGAAACATAGATTGCAAAATCTCCAGCCCCAGCGTTACAAGGCAGGGAGTAGAGGGACAGGTTGGGACTAAGAAACAGTCACTCAGTAACTGGCACACATCTGCAGAACCAGTATCCAAAATCAGGAAATAAAAAATTTGCAGCACCTGGAAGATCCCATTGTGCCCTCTCCCAGTCCTTGTTTCAGCCTCCCAACAGTAAGGTATTTCTTTTCTTAATGGCTCTGGCCTCTTGGGGATATTTTTCATTGTTTTTCTTTGCTTTCTTTCTTTTTTTTTCTTACCTTTACCACTCTGCCTTTGATTTTCCCCTCTAACTAATGCCTATATTTTGTCTTAGTTTTCCCTTTCCAAAAGGAATTAATCTTATGATAGATTAAATTATATTACTGAATTTTAGAAAAGAAATCTTCTAAGACATGTGACTTTCCTGGGAGATCATCTATTAGGACATTGAATTTAACTTTCTTATGCTCACTGTTAAATGGACCAAATCTAAAAATACTTGTCTCTGGTGCTACATTTCATGGCAGTATGTTTTCACTAGGTAGGTTTTCGGAACTGCTGCTAAAGATTAATTTTTGATTTATGCAGTTTGATGTTGTATGGATGGATTTTAGTAACAGGGCAAGCAAAATAAAATTAAATCAGGGTGAAAGCAGGTACATTCAGGCTGATTTAGATGTCCATGGTTTTAAAACTTTTTACTTTGTTTATGAAAGTTATTTCTAAGAAAGTAATAAATTCATTATATACCATAACATTAAAAATACAGATTGAACATTTGTAGGATACTATCCTAAATTATAATTGGGTATTTATTTTATAATTGGAGTCAAATCTGTTCTAAATAAAACTAATGAAAAGATGTACAAATAAAATTCATTTTATTCTCATTTATTTTGTCCCAACAGGTTCATGAAGTTTATAAAATCTATATATTTTCTCTCTTTCTGGGATATTTACTGCAGTTTGAGAATTCAGCTTTATTGGTATCTCCTTTATTAAGTTTAGTAGTGGCCTTAATACTTGCTAAGTGCCTTCAGGTAAAGAGAATTGCCTTTTTATCATTCTTGCAGTGAATTTTTTAATTGTTAATTTTTTTATACCTCACTTCTTTGTTCATGATTTTCCCCCCACAGCTGAATGTGAAGAAAGGAACTTGTATAGCTAAAATAATGAAAGTGATTAATTTTTACTTGGTGTGTACTCTGACAGTGACACTGAATATTATAATGAAGGTAAATGACTCTGCTGGTGAGATTCATGTAGTAGAGTGAGTTGGATAATGAAATATACTGGCCTAAATTTTAATGAGAATAATGAGATAGCAAAATAATAGAGTTTGTACAGTAAAATTTTGAGTTGAACAATGATCATACTTACAGGAAAAATAGGATTCTAATTTTTTTCTAGATATACTTAAAAGATACACTTTATTTTCCATTTATTTTCAAATGTCATCATTACCCAATTAATTAACATTAAGTAATTTAGTAAACAGACGAGTAAAAGTTTTGAAAAGAGTGGGTAAGTTACTCAGAGTGCCTGGGTGGCTCAGTCGTTAAGCGTCTGCCTTCGGCTCAGGTCATGGTCCTGGGATCGAGCCCCGCATTGGGCTCCCTGCTCTGCGGGAAGCCTGCTTCTCCCTCTCCTGCTCCCCCAGCTTGTGTTCCCTCTCTCGCTGTGTCTCTCTCTGTCAAATAAATAAATAAAATCTAAAAAAAAAAAGTGGGTAAGTTACTTAAGTCATGCAGGGTACGTGGAAATCTTACTACCCCATTATAGTTTTATGATTAACTATAAGGTAATGTGATTGACTTAGGTCAGTAGATCTTCTTGCTTCGTAGTTATACCAAGTATTATTTAATTCATTTTTAATTTGTTTTTTTTTTTTTTAAAGATTATTTATTTATTTATTTATTTGACAGAGAGAGACACAGCGAGAGAGGGAACACAAGCAGGGGGAGTGGGAGAGGGAGAAGCAGGCTCCCCGCAGAGCAGGGAGCCCGATGCGGACCTTGATCCCAGGACCCCGGGATCACGACCTGAGCCGAAGGCAGTCGCTTAACCGACTGAGCCACCCAGGCGCCCTAATTTGTATTTTTTTTTTTTTTTTTAAAGATTTTATTTATTTGACAGAGACGAGGAGAGCGGGAACACAAGCAGGGGGAGTGGGAGAGGGAGAAGCAGGCTTCCCGCCGAGCAGGGAGCCCGATGCGGGGCTCGATCCCAGGACCCTGGGATCATGACCTGAGCCGAAGGCAGACGCTTAACGACTGAGCCACCCAGGCGCCCTGTATTTTTTATTTAATAGTCCTGCTGTGTTTTCTATTTCTAGACAGAAACATATTGCTGTGAGCATAGCTAATAGTTCTTTGTTGTAACTAGTGCTTTTTTCTTCCAGATGTTTGTCCCACACAAAGAAAATGGGCACATGCTGAAATTCCTTGAAGTAAAATTTGGACTAAATATGACTAAGTAAGTTTTAGATTATATATAAATTTACCTAACTCCATACCACTTAAAAGATAAAGAGCAAAAATAATCCAAGGAGTAGTAGACACATAATTACATACCACTTAGAAAATAAATAATTTGGAATATTATAATATCTAGAAGAAATGTAACATTAATATTTTTTCTCATTTAAAAAAATTTCATTTAGGGGCACCTGGATGGCTCAGTCAGTTAAGCGTCTGCCTTCATTCAGCTCAGGTCATGATCTCAGGGTCCTGGGATTGAGCCCAGCATCGGGCTCTCTGCTCAGCAGGGAGTCTGCTTCTCACTCTCCCTCTGTACACTCTCTCTCTCTCAAATAAATAAATAAAATCTTTAATAAATAAATAAAATCTCATTTAGGTGTTTTATAAATTAGATGTACTTAAGCCTTAATAGCATCACAGTGTTTTGAGGCTACTTTCTCCCTTGATGTGGAACAATGATATAATGTAAAGTCAGAATAAATTAAAGATTTAAAATGAATAAAAAAAACCAATGTAATTTTTTTTTTTAAAGATTTTATTTATTTATTTGAGAGAGCATGAGAGGGGAGACAGTCAGAGGGTGAAGCAGACTCCCCGCCGAGCAGGGAGCCCGATGTGGGACTCGATCCCAGGACTCTAGGACCATGACCTGAGCCAAAGGCAGTCGCTTAACCAACTGAGCCACCCAGGTGCCCCCAATGTAATTTTTTTTAAAAAGATTTTATTTATTTATTTGAGAGAGAGCGAAAGTGAAGGAGTTCACAGGGGGAGAGGAAGAAGCAGACTTGCCCCTGAGCAGAGAGCCTGATGTGGGGCTTGATCTCAGGACCCTGAGATCATGACCTGAGCTGAAGACATATGCTTAGCTGACTGAGCCACCCAGGCGCCCCAAAACCAATGTAATTTTAACCAGTACATCAGCAAAATGTTTGCATTATGAAGGGGTGGGCAGTAAGATATCTATTTCATAGTAAAGAATCTCATTTTGGGTCGTAATAGTGGATTAGATCAGAAGCCGACTAATTTTTAACCGACTGATCCACCCAGGCAACCCTAGAAGCTGACTTTTTAAATTCAAGAGTAATGTTGTACCTTGTCTTTGTTAGTTAAATTCATTTTTTAAATCCAAAGTGAAATAAATGACTTATGTATGATAATGTCCACTTGCATAACAGAAAAAAATATATATATATATATAAATATTTTATTTTGACAGTGAGAGAGGGAACACAAGCTGGGGGAGTGAGAGAGGGAGAAGCAGTCTTCTCGTGGAGCAGGGAGCCCGATGCGGGGCTCGATTCCAGGACCCTGGGATCATGACCTGAGCTGAAGGCAGATGCTTAACGACTGAGCCACCCAGGCACCCCCAGAAAATATATATTTAAATACACATTTTTCTAGTTCATATAATATACCTTAGAACCTTATTATCATTTGCTATGATTACATGGGATTTTAGATGCTGTGCATGGAATTTCATGTTGTAGTATATCACAGTTAACAAAGTGTTGAAACACTGGAGAAATCTTCTGAAGTGTAAGTCATATATGGATATCTACTAAGGTAGAAGGATCCTTTAAGAGGCCATGTGCTCCATAGGGGCAGGGACCTTATCTTTTTCAGGTATATATATAGGCCTGACATTTAGCAGGCAATTAGGAAAAATTGGTTATAGACTTCCATAATTGACTGGCCTTTTCCCCTTTCTCTTTAACCTTGGAAGACTCGAGAATACATGTAGGGTTAAGGGCTGCTTTTGTCTAGCGTTTCTTAGTTGATGCTATGTAGTGCCCCTTTGCTCAGCATGTCAGGTACTAGATTTGCCTCACAGGGTAATACACTAGGTGTTTTAAGAATAAGACATGATGTCTGTCCTTAAGAATATTGACATCTCATTAGCTAGTTTTTATACAGTTAATGACATGAGAAGTATAAACAGTAAATGCCTTGGGGCACCTGGGTGGCTCAGTCGTTAAGCTTCTGCCTTCGGCTCAGGTCCTGATCCCAGGGTCCTGGGATCACTGGGCTTCCCTGCTCAGCAGGAAGCCTGTTTCTCCCTTTCCCACTCCCCCTGCTTGTGTTCCCTCTCTCACTGTCTCTCTCTCTGTCAAATAAATAGATAAAATCTTTAAAAAAGAAAAAGCAGTAAATGCCTTATGCTCAAATGTGCCAACTGGATGTTAGGATTTGTAGTTCACCAGAATTTCAGGAAACATTTCTGTTGAGACAGACTTTCAAGAACCACTAAAGAAATGTTAATAAGTATTTATTGGATGTGCAGGATACTAGGCCAGGTATTCTGGGAGATACAAAAATGACTATAATCTTAAAGTAGCAAGTTGCTTTAAGCACTATAATAGAGGGATAAATAAAGTGCCATGGGGATATGGGGAAGGAAAGATTGAGACTGGGGAACATGGGAAGAATATTCATTAAATTGAGATTTGAATTGGATCTTATAGAATTAGTAACTTTAATAGGTAGACAAAAAAGACGTGATTCATCATATGATCATATGTACAAAACATTTTGATGGCAGCCTCTTTGATACAGCTGTATTACTGCTTGACACATTGTGAAACTTCAACCTTTTTCTAAACCCAGTGATTTGGGATGCAGGCATTCTTCGTCCATCCAAGAGCTCTTCTGAAGATCATTCCATCTCTTTATCTCTCTTCCCAGGCTAGGGATTAAGGATAAAATGGATGTTGGAGATGGATCAGGTGTGAGAATGCAGATAAAATCACATATAACTAGGAATCTTGTTGATCATATTTAGCTTAAGGTCAAAAAAAGTGTATCCTGGGGGTGCCTGGGTGGCTCAGTCGTTAAGCGTCTGCCTTTGGCTCAGGTCATGATCCCAGAGTCCTGGGATCAAGCCCCGCGTCGGGCTCCCTGCTCCACGGGAAGCCTGCTTCTCCCTCTCCCACTCCCCCTGCTTGTGTTCCCTCTCTCACTGTGTCTCTCTGTCAAATAAATAAAATCTAAAAAAAAAAAAAAAGTGTATCCTGATTCTTATAGCTCAAAATGTTTATGTTTCAAATTTTATGACTTCTGTCTTAGATTACTCTTTTTAAAATGGGTCCTAGTTGAATTACTTTCATCCATATAAAACAGAACTGTCCAGTAATAGTATGAGTCATGCGTATAATTTTCTAGTAGACACATTTAAAAAAGTGAAAAGAAAAAAGGGAATTTAATTTTAATAATACATTTTATTTAATCCAATATATTAAAATATTATTCTAATGTATAAACAGTATAAAAATTATGAATGAGCTATTTTGTATTCTTTAGTCCTTTTCATTCTTTTTTATGTTTGAAACCCAAGGTGTATTTTGTATTTAAAGTATATCCATTTGCACTGGCCACATTTCAGGTGCTAATAGCCACATCGTACCTAGTAGCTACCATATTGGACACTGCAGATATGGAGGTCGGACAGCTGAAATTTTTGTTGTCTTCCAGATAAAAATAGAAAGTGAAACTTCCTTGAAACCATTTTGGGTTCTAGATATGGTCTTATAAAGGGTAGGACCTTGCTGTTACAAGTGAATAGATTTAGAAATGTGTTTTTTGTTTTGTCTTAGTTTTTATGGAGATAAAAAATACTTTTATGTACAGTAGGTTATACCATCTATGATTTTAATATCATGCTTTTTGTTTTCTGTAGGAATTTTACAATGAATTGGCTCCTATGTCAAGAATCCCTGCAGGCACCATCTCAAGATTTTTTTTTGCGATTGACACAGTCTTCTTTATTACCCTTCTATATTTTAGTGTTAATTATTTGTTTTCTTTCTATGATGCAAGTTATTTTTAGGAGAATTAAGTAAGTACCTATGAGAATCAATCACATTGCTAACTAATACATTATGAAAATAAACTATTTTTAATATCCTTCCAATATTTGTGTATTTGTTTTAGAATTTCTAGATCCATTCTCTTGTTATCAACATGTAAAATATCATAAGTTAACCAGATAAATTTCAAATTTTTTATACATCTAAGTATATAATGTCTAAATTTAATGTAGGATTAATACTGAGTTAAATTGTTACAGACTTAATTTACTAATTTAGTCATATTTTTACTTAATGTTTTTTCTATATAACTTAAATGAAGCTAGTAGTGTTAAGTGATTTTAAATTATGAAGACTTCCAAAATATTTTTGTCATGTTTAAAAGTAGGTTGTGTGTAGTATTTTAATTTTAAGAACTTAGCTATTCAAATTATGATTTAACTATATTGATTTAGTAACCACTAGTTGAGTGATAATTGATCTTGGAAAAGGAACCTAAAAATATATTTTTTAAATTTTTTAAGATTTATTTATTTATTTGAGAGCAAGAGCGCACAAATGAGTGGGGGCAGGGGCAGAGGGAGAGAGAGTCCTAAAGCAGATTCCCCACTGAGCATGGAGCCCCACGCAGGGCTCGATCCTAAGACCCTGAGATCGTAACCTGAGTTGAAATCAAGAGTCGGCTGGTTAATTGACAGAGCCACCCAGGCACGCCCTAAAAATTGTTTTTATCATATTTCCTGAACTTTCATATTTAGTCTTCACAGAGTCCATTGTCTTCAGGTTTTAAAAACCATTTCAAAGACTTGGAGATGTGTAAGTTAGATATTTGACTAACAATATACTTTCAAATTTCAAGGACCACCTATATTTTTTTTTTTATGAAGAAAGTTAAGATCTTTGATTTTTCAAATACATATTTTCAAAATAGTAAAAAACATATTTCCTTTGTGTAGAGGCAAGTCCTTGAAAGAAACTATTACTCTTGAAGATGGACGAATTGGAGGAAGGCCAGAAATAATTTATCATGTGATTCACACTATTTTATTGGGCTCTCTTGCAATGGTTATAGAAGGGTAAGTGTACTTTATTGGATCTATTTGTTTTTACAAAGAATTATCCTTTCTAATGCTAATAAGTGGATACTTTCAAGAATATATTTATGAAACTATAAACACTCAAAATCTACAAACTTTCTTAACCTAACTGGAGTTTATGGAGGTTGTTATAGTACAGTGAACTGACATTTACTTATTCACTCATTTGTTCTAAAACTATTGAATTTCTTCCAAGGGCCAGGCATTGTACTAGGTGCTGGAGGTACTGTGGTGAACAAAAGTGGACACACAATCTCTAAACTTATGTGACTTATGACTTATGTTAATGGAGGTAACAAATATTAATCACACAAAAATAAAATGACAACTTTGATAAGTGAAATAGAGGTAAATGAGCTCTGAGGCTAAGGGTTCAATAAATGATACCCTTTTCTTTGAAGTCTGGACTCAGATGAAAAATAAGACATAGGAGTATAGAATGATTTTGAACACCCAGTTTCAGTTTGAGGAGGGGCTTTCCCCACACCAACAATAAGCCATTGTTCAGGCACCAGCTGAGTGTCCTACAATTATAGTTTGACTTAATTCTGGCACTATCCACCTGGAGATAGCATCAGATTCCACAGTTCAAGGGTTCAGTCCTACAAGATTCCACCCCCCCTTCAGGTGCCAGTTGCAAACCCAGGTTATCACCTGTGCTTCTGACCAAGGCTATAAATCAGAAGTTCCCAAGACCCTCTCCTTGGGTTCAATTAATTTGTTAGAGTGGCTCACAGAACTCAAAGAAATATTTTACTTACTAGATTATCAGTTTATTATAAAAAGAGAGAACTCAGGAACAGCCAGATGGAAGATATGCATAGGGCAAGGTTTGTAGGAAGGGGTACAGAGCTCCCTTTACCTCTCTAGGCATGCCACTCTCTCCCAGTCTCCATGTGGTCACCAACCCAGAAGTTCTCCAAACCCTGTCCTTTTGGGTTTTTATGGAGGCCTCATTACATAGGCATGTTGATTAAATCATTGACCATTGGTGATTGAACTCAACCTTCAGGCCCTCTTCCCTCCCCAGAAGTTTGGGGCGGGACTGAGAGTTCCAACTCCCTAATCGCATGGTTGGCACCACTGGCAACTGGCCCCATCCTTGGGTACCTTCCAAAAGTTAACCATTAACACAAGAGCCACCTTTCCAATTTCATCACTTAGGAAATTCCAAGAGTTTGCGAAACTGTGAGCCACGAGCCTTACAAAGACCACATATATGTGAGAAATATATTTGATCATCTGCATGATTCTGATTCTGATAAAGGTTGCATTAGAGAATACTTCATGTATGACCAAAGGGCTCTACTATTTTCCACCCCAAATTGAGCTTAGTCCTCAAACTTCAGGCCATCCCTTTTGAATGGGCAGAGCCTTGGTAAGTTTATGCACTTACCGACACCCACCATGCAAAAATAAGATACAAAATGTGGAAGCCTAGAAATGTTTGAGCTGGGTATGCTCAATTCTTTCTCTTGCACACAAATCAGATAAATCACTGCCATGAGGAGGAGCCATTAAGGTTCTGAGGTGGAGGGTTAGGAGGGGAAGCAGGGAGAAATGAAGAGTATTGATCCTAATATAAGATTTCTCAAGTTAAATTTCCATTAATTATGAATATAGATACTGAATCACAGTCATTATAGCAGTACCCATGGTGTTTTCCCCAACAGAAAGCTTAGCTATTTTCTTACTAATTTTTTATTTTGAAATACTGTTTATACACATCACAACTTCAAAGTTACAGTTATTATTAGATCTGCATTTAATGTATTAAGAAGTGTAAATATTGCTGTATAGGAATTTATTTTTATTATTTGTTATCAATATTTCAATATAATTGGTTTCTTTGTAAGCCTATGTATTTTATGCATTTACAAACATTTTTTTTTTTCAAGATTTTTTTTATTTATTTATTTGAGACAGAGAGAATGAGAGAGAGAGAGCACATGAGAAGGGGGAGGGTCAGAGGCAGAAGCAGGCTCCCTGCCGAGCAGGGAGCCCGATGCGGGACTAGATCCAGGGACTCCAGGATCATGACCTGAGCCGAAGGCAGTCGCTTAACCAACTGAGCCACCCAGGCGCCCCAAACATTTTCTTATAAGACATTCATAGACTATCAGATTGCCAAACCCATGACTAGTGGGAATCTCTTTATTGAAACATGAAGCAAGAATGGTGGTTCACTCTAATAATTAGCATTCCATAATGCCTAATAAGTGGGATGAAGAAATGTATTAAGCCATGAATATTCTGAGTGATTCACGTTTTGATTTTCATTTCATTGCCTTGTAGTAGTAGAATTTTGGCGCATGGTTTGCCTTTTTCCCCCCCTTTGTACTCTCTCAGTTTTATTTCTCTCTGCAGAAGAACTTTTTGTTATTGCCACCATTCTTTATTGTTGGACGTACTATTTTAAATTCAAAATCCTTTTTTTTTTTTTTTAAAGATTTTATTTATTTATTTGAGAGAGAGAGAATGAGAGAGAGAGCACATGAGAGGGGGAAGGTCAGAGGGAGAAGCAGACTCCCTGCCGAGCAGGGAGCCCGATGCGGGACTCGATCCCGGGACTCCAGGATCATGACCTGAGCCGAAGGCAGTCGCTTAACCAACTGAGCCACCCAGGCGCCCAAATTCAAAATCCTTTTTCTGAACATGTAATCTGCATTGTTCTATTATTCATCCTTCTTTAATTTACTCACTAGGCTTATAATACTATAGATTACCTATTCATACAAATAAGATGCATAGTCACCCAGAAGGTGCCACGCACTCTACTAAGTAGAGAGTAGGGATTAAAGAAATACAAAACTGGGGCGGCTGGGTGGCTCAGTCGTTAAGCATCTGCCTTCAGCTCAGGTCATGATCCCAGGGTCCTGGGATCGAGCCCCGCATTGGGCTCCCTGCTCCGTGGGGAGCCTGCTTCTCCCTCTCCCACTCCCCCTGCTTGTGTTCCCTCTCTAGCTGTGTTTCTCTCTGTCAAATAAATAAAACCTTTAAAAAAAAAGAAAGAAAGAAATACAAAACCTACTCTTTCTTTTCAAAGAGTTCCTACCCTAGGTAAGTAAACCAAGAGTTAGAGCAAAGTAAAGTACTATGAGAAAGGTATACAAAGGGTGCTTTGGTCGCTCAGAGGAGAGGTACTAACTCAATTGTAGAGGGTGGCTAGAGGAAGTCAGTTTAAGGAAGATTTCCTATATGGGGCAACAGTCTTCAGAGATAGAGATTGGCCAGGCTGTCCATTTTCTCATGTGCCTCTGTGTGTTTGTGTGTGTGTGTGTGTAATTATCTAGACAGAATAAATATTCTTTGGGAACTAATAGTACAAGGTGAATGTAAGGTCAGTATGAGAAATATGTCTGGGGGTGCCTGGGTGGCTCATTGGTCAAATGTCTGCTTTCGGCTCATGTCACTATCTCAGGGTCCTGGGATCAAGCCCCCCGTCAGGCTCCCTGCTCAGTGGGGAGCCTGCTTCTCCTTCTCCCTGTGCCTGTCCCTCACCCCCCACTCCTACTCTCTCTCTCTCAAATAAATAAAATCTTAAAAAAAAAATATGTCTGGAAAAATAATCAGGGACCAGATGAAGTGTTTATATAGAAATTTGATATCAGATTTGCTTTTTAGTAAGATCTCTCTGGCAGCAATGATTGAGAAAGGTTTGAGAAAAAAGATTAAAGGAAGATAAGCCAGTTAAGAATCATAATAGAATTTAGAAGTGAGTCACAGTGGAAATGGAGGAAAGAGCCAAAACTAAAATATTTGGAGTTGGAAACTGAATAAGTAGCAGTAGGGACTGTGGTGGAGAGACTCTAGGAAGAGTTGCAACTCTGAAGCCAAAAGAGGAGTTTTTAAAGGGGTACATGACCAGGGAGTCGAAGGCAGAGATGTAAGTGTGGACTTCAAGGAGTCTAGCTATGAAGGGAATCAGAGTCTAAGGCAGCACTAGATGGGTGTGCTTGGGTCAGGAGGGAGAAACTTACGTGCATTAGGGGTTGGAAATACTAAGATTGTTCTGCAAACTCTGGCTAGAACACTAATCATATTTAGGGAAGTCATAGGAGAAAAACTGAAAAGGTGAATCAAGACCATATTTTTTGAGGGCCTTGAAAACCATTTAGATGAGTTTTCATTTATTTCAGTAGATTCTGGGGAACCACTAAAGATTTTTTTTTTTTTTAAAGATTTTATTTATTTATTAGACAGAGAGAGACACAGCGAGAGAGGGAACACAAGCAGGGGGAGCGGGAGAGGGAGAAGCAGGCTTCCTGCAGAGCAGGGAGCCCGATGCGGGGCTCGATCCCAGGACTCTGGGATCATGACCTGAGCCGAAGGCAGACGCTTAACCGACTGAGCCACTCAGGTGCCCCACCACTAAAGATTTTTTAACAGAAAGTGTCTTGTAATTATGTTTGAAGGTTCATTTGGTATTTGGTTGGAGAGTCTAAAGGTAGAGATGTTAGGGTGCCTGGTTGGCTCAGTTGGAAGAATATGTGATTCTTGATCTCAGGGTCATAAGTTTGAGCCCCACACTGGGTGTAGAGATTACTTAAAAAAATAAACAAACTTAAAAGGTAGAGATGTTAATTAGCCGTTATTGCAATAAAATGAGATGAATACAGAGAAATCAGTGGGTTGGACATAATGGTCTAATCTCTAGAACAGGAAGTTGATGTTCCAGGAAATGTTATATATGTATAATTCAATGTGAATGGTGTTTCCTGGAGTTATAAACCAGACTGGTTTTGATTCTGGCTGACTTGAAAAATAGCAGGAATGAGGAAGTTAGGAGGAGATACTAGTTGACCAGAGAAAACTAATGCAGTTCCTTTGTCTTAGTGACATGTATTCTATATACATCCACTACTTCTCTCAAAGTCCAAGTTAGTATTCATTTTTTTAGAGATTTATTTATTTAATTTTATTTTAAAAATTATTTTATTTATTTATTTGACAGAGAGCAAGAGAGGGGACACAAGCAGGGGGAGGGGGAGAGGGAGAAGCAGGCTTCTGGCTGAGCAGGGAGCCTGATGCGGGTCTCGATCCCAGGACCCTGGGATCATGACCTGAGCCGAAGGCAGACGCTTAACGACTGAGCCACCCAGGTGCCCCTATCTATTTATTTATTTTAATTTATTTTTATTTTTAAAAATTTATTTGAGAGAGAAAGCATGAGTGGGAGGGGCAGAGGGAGAGAGAATCTCAAGCAGACTCCACACTGAGCAGAGCCCAATGCAGGGTTCACTCTCACGACCCTGAGATCACAACCCGAGCCGAAACCAAGGGTCAGATGCCTAATCAGATGCTTAACCAATTGTACCACCCGGGCACCCCTAAAGATTTATGTTTAAGTAATTTCTACACCCAACGTGGGGCTCAAACTTACAACCCTGAGATCAAGAGCCTCACATTACACTTACTAAGCCAGTCAGGTACCCCTACATTTTTTTAAATCACCAAAAAACTAGGGTAACAGTATATAGTACCTGAAATTTGGTATTTTGCTTTTTTGTTTTATATAATTTAATTAATACCTACTGAAGGACAGCCAGGTTTCTAATTTTTTTTTTTTTAAGATTTTTTTAATTTATTTATTCATGAGAGACAGAGAGAGACAGAGGCAGAGCTAGAAGCAGGCTCCCCGCGGAGCAGGGAGCCCGATGCAGGACTCGATCCCAGGACCCTGGGATCATGACCTGAGCCGAAGGCAGACGCTTAACCGACTGAGCCACCCAGGCGTCCCTCTAATTTTTTTGCTATTAAAACATACTGCAGTTAAAACCTTTGTATTTATATCTTTTTTTTTTTTTTTTAAGATTTTATTTATTTGACAGAGAGAGACACAGCGAGAGAGGGAACACAACCAGGGGGAGTGGGAGAGGGAGAAGCAGGCTCCCCGCTGAGCAGGGAGCCCGATGCGGGGCTCGATCCCAGGACCCTGGGATCATGACCTGAGCTGAAGGCAGACGCTTAACGACTGAGCCACCCAGGCGCCCCTGTATTTATATCTTTATACATTTATGCTAATATATCTGTAGGCTAGTTTACTAGAAATGGGAGTGTTTTGGGATATTTAAAATTTTTATAGGTTCTGCCAAATCACCTTCTGAAAAAGTATAGCAGTTTATATTCTCTCCAAGAGTATAATTTTACTACAGCCTTATCTGTATTGATGCTCTTACTTCATCCTCATTTTAGTAACCCACATGTCTTCTTGATTATTTAAGAAATGAATAACAATTTGTTGTTGAAAATTAGAGGTTAAGATTTTCTTTCTTTCTTTCTTTTTTTAAAGATTTTATTTATTTGACAGAGAGAGACACAGCCAGAGAGGGAACACAAGCAGGGGGAGTAGAAGAGGGAGAAGCAGGCTTCCCGCGGAGCAGGGAGCCCGACGCGGGGCTTGATCCCAGGACTCTGGGACCATGACCTGAGCCGAAGGCAGACACTTAACGACTGAGCCACCCAGGCGCCCCGGTTAAGATTTTCATTTTCCCTTAACACTGTGGTATTATCATGGGTAGTAGGACAGAACTCAGAAAAGAGGAACCAGGGTGCATGGCTGCTCAGTCAGTGGAGCTTGTGGCTCTTGATCTTGGGGGGTCGTGAGTTTGAGCCCTTTGTTGGGTATAGAGATTGCTTAAAAAAATAAAATCTCAAAAAAAAAGAAAATGAGATAGTAATGATGTTCATAGGATATCTCATACGTGACTCCTTTTGTCTTTTCTAGCTTGAAATACTTGTGGACTCCTTATGTGTGTATGTTAGCAGCATTTGGTGTATGTTCTCCTGAACTTTGGGTGACACTTTTCAAGTGGCTTCGATTACGAACTGTACACCCCGTGTTGTTGGTGAGTCATTGTTATTTTGGGTTAAGTACTTGTTTCTTTTTCAATTATATAAATGGAAACCCCATTGAATACAGTTGAAATAGCATGAGTAAATCACATTATGACCTGCAGGTGAAAAAGAGATTCTGTGAAAAACTTTTTTTTTTTTTTGAGATTTTATTTATTTATTTGACAGAGAGACACAGCGGGAGAGGGAACAAAAGCAGGGGGAGTGGGAGAGGGAGAAGCAGGCTCCCCGCAGAGCAGGGAGCCTGATGTGGGGCTGGATTCCAGGACCCTGGGATCATACCTGAGCCAAAGGCAGATACTTAATGACTGAGCCACCCAGCACCCCAAAACTTTTTTTTAATGTAATTTCTGATTATAAAGGCAATGCATTTAAATGAAGACAGGTAGGGCGCCTGGGTGGCTCAGTTGGTTAAGCAACTGCCTTCGGCTCAGGTCATGATCCTGGAGTCCCTGGATCGAGTCCCGCATCGGGCTCCCTGCTCGGCGGGGAGCCTGCTTCTCCCTCTGACCCTCCCCCCTCTCATGTGCTCTCTGTCTCTCTCATTCTCTCTGTCTCAAATAAATAAATAAAATCTTTAAATAAATAAATAAATGAAGACAGGTAAAATAAGGTAAAAATATAAGTGAATCAATAGTGTTAGAGGCTATTAAGAATTATTTTTTATAATATCATTCTTGGTTTGACTTAGAACTATTGTATGTTTTCAATGCAAATAGAACATTTTCACTGTGCCTATTAAGTGCAATGTGCGTACAAGACAAATTAATTTCCTCAGGTAGATTACAGTCTCCCATTCATAAAAACGAACAATAAGAAGTATTGATAGGGTGCTATTGGAACACAGAGAAGGGGTAGTACTTAATTCAATTTTGTTAGGGATTCAAAGAGTTTTTGATCTGAGATTTGAAAGATGATGACTTATTACTCAAATGAAAGGGAAAGAAAGGGTATTCATGGTAGAAGGACTAAACACAGAGAGGCAAAGAACATGTTGTAATCAAAGGGAATAAAAGCAGACGCAAGGAAAAAGCGTGATATATTTAGTTTCCTTGTCACATAAAATGTGAGATGGGAGAGGTAAAGAAATGAGACTGGAGAAGTCTAGGAGGGTAAGGTCATGGAGGCCTTTGAATATTATGCTGTGATGCTTGTGGTCTTATCCTGTAGGCAGTAGAAAGGCACTGAAATGAGAGAGTCAGACTTATATTTTCTCCCTATATATAAGTTTATGCTTATAGCTCTTTGAAGGATAGACTTAAGGGTGACAAACTCAGGCCAGGAAGAAGGCTGTTGCCCAAGTACTGGCCATGGTGGATGGAAGTGATAAAAGCTTCAGTATATTGAGTGTTCACCACATGTCAGGTACAGTTTACAAAACATTTCATGTGCTATTCAATGCTTACAAAGACCCTAATGGTTAAGTTTTATTATCTGTATTTTGTAGATGAAGAAACTAAGGCTTAAACTGGTTAAATAACCACATAGCTCGTAAATGTGAAAACCGTGATTTACACCCAGGTTTTTCTGACTCCAGAGCCCATTTACTTAATACTATGCTATACTGGAGTGAAAAAAATAATAAGAAAAGAAGGTTAATAAGACTTGGTGCTTCATTACATATGGAGACTAAAGAAGGAGGAGAAATCATAGATATTTCCTAGGTCTCTAGTTTGTGTGACAATGGATTGTGGGGTCATCAGCAGACATGGGACGATAGGAAGAACAGGTTTTGGCAGGGAGGTGATGAATAATTATCTTTAGTAATAGTCCTATTGTGTTTTGCCAGTCTTTTTCCAGAGAAATATATATGTTCGTATTTTAGCATACTTGTATATTGATATATCCTGGCTGTTTTTCCTGTGTTAATTCATTGTCTTTTTGTTGTTAGCTTTTTAGGTGGCACAGTTCAGTGTCCTTTGTAAACTCTTAAACTTAAATTCCTGGCAGAATTGTCAAATATTGATTTGTTATTTGAAATATACTATAAGTGTTACCTTTTTTATGCTCTGCCTTTAATTTATATAGTAAATATGTATGTCTCACTTTATCTCCAGCTAAATAAGTCTTAAATTCATTAGTCTTCACTATTCTCACTCTGTGAACTAGGTTCCACACTGACTTCAGTTTCTCTGACTGAAAACTTTATAAATAAGAATCTGTGATTGGTCATGGAGTCAATGTCTAATACCTCTAGTACATTCTGAAATGTATTTATCCATAATCATTTCTGTTTCAATGTTTTAGGCTCTTATTCTGAGTATGGCTGTTCCCACTATAATAGGTCTCAGCTTATGGAAAGAGGTAAGAAAATCAGATTTTTATATTATTAAAATGCGCTTTATCTTCAAGGTAGTGATAAATTTACGTGTGTGTAGCATATTTATATTGAGACACTATACCAACAACATAAAGTGTGATATTCTTAGTATGCTTAGTTTTTTATCAGTAGGAACATAAAAGAAGAGCTAAAACATTTTTAGAATGCCATGTGATACATGTAGTCTAATGCTGTTAAAATTCAGTTTATAATTGTCAAAGGAAATGAATAAATAGGAGATAATATTAAAAAGTATTCTGGGATGAAAAACCCACAGCTAACCTCATACTTAATGGTGAAAAACTGAGAGGTTTTCCTCTAAGATCAGGAACAAGACAAGGATTTCCACTCCACTTTTATCCAACATAGTCCTGGAAGTTGGAAGTCCCAGCCATAGCAGTCAGACCAGAGAAAGGAATAAAAAGCATCCAAATTGGTAAGGAAGAAGTAAAATTTTCACTGTTTGCAGATGACATGATACTATATATAGAAAACTCTGAAAACTCCACCAAAAAACTACTAGAACTGGGGTGCCTGGGTGGCTCAGTTGGTTAAGTGTCTGCCTTCAGCTCAGGTCATGATGGGATTGAGCCCCGTGCATGGCTCCATGCTCAGCAGGGACTCTGCTTTCCCTTCCCCCACCCCTTCACCTCCCCGTGCTCATGCTCTCTCTCTCAAATAAGTAAATAAAATCTTAAAAAAACAAAACAAAACAGAAAAGGGGCGCCTGGGTGGCTCAGTCGGTTAAGCATTAGCCTTCAACTCGGGTTGTGATCCCAGGGTCCTGGGATTGAGCCCTGCATTGGGCTCCCTGTTCAGCGGGAAGCCTGCTTCTCCCTCTCCCACTCCCCCTGCTTGTGTTCCCTCTCTCGCTGTCTCTCTCTCTCTGTCAAATAAATAAATAAAACATTAAAAAATAAATATAAAAAATAAAAAAATATTAAATATTAAAAATAAAATATTAAAAAAAACCTACTAGAGCTAAATAAATGAATTCAGTAAGATCACAGGATACAAAATCCCTGTTCAGAAATCCATTGCATTTCTATACACCAATAATGAAAGAAGCAACAGAAAGAGAAATTAAGAAAACAATCCCATGTACAATTATACCAAAAATAATAAGATACCTAGGAATAAACCTAATCAAAGAGGGGAAAGACCTGTACTCTGAAAACTATAAAACAATGATGAAAGAAATTGAAGATGACACAAAGAAATGGAAAGATATTCCATGCTCATGGATTGGAAGAACAAATATTGTTAAAATGTTTATACTACCCAAAGCAATCTACAGAGAGAGTGTGAGAGAGACAGCACACAAGCAGGGGGAGCAGCAGGCAGAGGGCGGGAGAAGGAGGCTTCCCACGGAGCAGGGAGCCCGATGTGGGACTCCATCCCAGGACCCCAGGATCATGACCTGAGCCGAAGGCAGACACTTAATGACTGAGCCACCTAGGCACCCCTAAATAAAATCTTTAAAAAGAAAAGGGGATTGGGGCGCCTGGGTGGCTGGTTAAGCGACTGCCTTCGGCTCAGGTCATGATCCTGGAGTCCCAGGATCGAGTCCCGCATCGGGCTCCCTGCTCAGCAGGGAGTCTGCTTCTCCCTCTGACCCTCCTCCCTCTCATGCTCTCTGTCTCTCATTCTCTCTCTCTCAAATAAATAAATAAAATCTTTAAAAAAAAAAAAAAGGGATTAAGAGCACACTTATCTTGATGAGCACTGAATAATATATGGAATTGTTGAATCACTATATTGTACACCTAAAATGAATATAATACAGCATGTTAACCACACTGGAATTTTAAAAAAAGTATTTTGGCAACTCCAAAATTTAAATATGAAGCTAATTGCCAGTAAACCTGTGAATTATTTTACCTGAAATTAATTAGTTGTGTGTGCATGAAAGATACAACTGATGATTAATTGTTTGGTAATGATAAAATTATTTATTGAGTCTAGGCAGTAAATTAAACATAAAATATATTATTTATTTATTTTTAAGAATTTATTTGAGAGAAAGAGCGAGCATGAATGGGGGGACAGAGGAGAGGGAGGGGGGAGAAGCAGACTCCTCACTGAGCAGGGAGCCCAATGTGGGGCTTGATCCCAGGACCCTGAGATCATGACCAGAGCCAAAGGCAGATGCTTAACTGACTGAGCCACCTAGGGAACCCTAAAATAGATTATTTAGATTATTTGTACTGAGAAGGATGAGCTGCTCACTGAAAGACAGTAAAAAGATCCATGACATTTTTCCCATGAGAACAATGTTTCAATACTGTTTGTTATGTTAGTCTCTTAGTCTTTTGAAATACTCTGTAACAGTTTTAAACTTTCTGGATACTTACACAGAAATTTTGTTTTGCATTTTAGTTTTTTCCAAGATTAATGACAGAATTAATGGAACTGCAAGAATTTTATGACCCAGACACAGTGGAACTTATGACCTGGATAAAGTAAGAATTGAAGTGCTTTTAAGACTGTTGTTAAACAATTATTGCATGCTATCTAACTGATTCAGGGGAAATAATAAATGCTTTTCCAAATTCTCAGAAGACTCAGAATTTTACCTCCATGCTTTTAGGGATATTTAGTTTTTGATTGGACCTATAATTTGAATTTTCTAATTGAACTCTCCATTGAGAATATAGTATTGACTGGCTGACTCAGTCAGAAGAGCATGTGAATCTTGATGTCTAGGTTGTGAATTCAAGCCCCATGTTGAGTGTAAAGATTACTTAAATAAATAAAAATTTTTTTAAAAAAAGAAAGAAAATATACCATTGATAAGTTTGAAATTTGAGACTCTTGCCATCAGACACCTAGAAATGTGGAATATAAATGAACAAATATTCCTTTGGATAGTCAAGAGGATGCTTCTTTTGCCCTGGGTTGGAGGTGGATGAGTGGTAGATTGCTAGTCTTGGTAACCAAGTTTACCAAAATTTAAAATTTTAATTTTCATACCCATGCATATTTTAATGCCCACACAGGACAGAAGATGTGGTCTTGGGCCAATGGATGCAGTGAATTGTAATTGAGACACCTTTTTCCCTCTCCCAACACATGCATATAACTAAGGGACTCTCAGAGGGCTACAGTACCAGTGAAAGGATAGACTAACAAATTACCCATAGGAGTGCTAGAAGAAGATGATAAGAAAGCATGTCTTTCTTGGCTTCATCTCTTGGTCAAAAAAAGTCTCTCCTCTGAATTTGTAGCAGTGGATCTGAATTCACATGGGTTTGCAGTTTGAAATTATACTTGTTTAATTCAGGAAATCCCCAGTCAAGAAATTACCATAAAAAGTGGTCCTGGGGTGGTTTGGAGTGCCTGATAGGTTCTCAGCCCAGGCTACACAGGTTTCCACAGATAAGAGTTCATGAAGATGAGCTCTAAAATTACAAAACACATGAGGAAATAGTCCAACACAGTAAGAATCAGCTGTTGTTTGAGATAAACAGCAGAATTAGACCTCTAGCAATTTTTTGTTTATTTATTTATTAATTTACTTGAGTAATCTCTACACCCAATGAGACCCTGAGATCAAGTTGCATGCTCTTCTGACTGCACCAGCCAGATGCCTCAGACCTCTAGCAATTTCTGATAATAAAATTTGTTTATGTCCGTTTTTGATGCATAATAGACTACCACAAAATTTAGTGGCTATAAATGATAAACATTTGCTATTTTGTACCATTTTGATAGTCAGCTGAGTCAGGGAAGTGGGGAGGATTCTTCTGGCCTGGGCCAGCTGGTCTGGGACTGGGTAACCTGGCATGACCTCTCACATGTCTAAAGGTATCAGCTGAGGGGATGGAATTGACTTAGCCATGGGCCTGTTATCATACAGCCAGGTAGCCTGGGCTCATTCACAAGGTAGTGGCTGTAGAGTTCCCAAGAGCAGCAAAAGAGCACAGATGCCAATGTCAAGCATTTTTATTTTTTTAAAGATTTTATTTTATTTATTTGACAGAGACAGAGAGACAGCTAGAGAGGGAATACAAGCAGGGGGAGTGGGAGAGGGAGAGGCAGGCTTCCCCCCGAGGAGGAAGCCCGATGTGGGACTCGATCCCAGGAGCCTGGGATCATGACCTGAACCGAAGGCAGACGCTTAACGACTGAGCCACCCAGGCGCCCCAATGTCAAGCATTTTTAAAGTCTGCTCACTTTATGTTGTTGTGTTGGCCGAAGCAGGTCACATGACCAAGACCAGCATTTGCTCTGAGAGCATAGGTATGGGAGAAGAATCATTGCAGCCGGTTTGCAACTAGTCTACCCCATGGGTAGACACTGAAATAACTACACTGAAAATTATTTAAGGGGCGCCTGGGTGGCTCCTGGGATCGAGCCCCACGTCGGGCTCCCTGCTCCGCAGGAAGCCTGCTTCTCCCTCTCCCACTCCCCCTGCTTGTGTTCCCTCTCTTGCTGTGTCTCTCTCCGTCAACTAAATAAATAAAATCTTAAAAAAAATTATTTAAGACATAGAAGAAGAAACTAAAACATGAAAAAGGAATGAAACACTATCAAAAATAGCCAGGAAAATATGGGGGGGGGGTGAGACAAAAATGTTTCTAGAATAAGGAATAGGTTTATAGAAATGAGAATTGGTCTTATTATAAGGTCTTGTTGCTGTAAATACACCCTTCATATGTCTAAAAATTGTTTTCTTTTGATCACCCTTAACTATTGCCCATTAATATTTTTTGTGAATTGTGTTTACCATTGTGGAACAGACTATATAGCTTTGCATTGTTTTTAACAAAAGAGGAAGTTCAATCTGGGTGTGTGATTTATCACAATATTTTCAAAACCAGCACAGGGGCCTGAACATTGAACATTGTGCATCAGGCAATCAGACATATATGTTATGTGGTGTAATTATCTTGTTTCATATTTGTTTCCCCATTATTGGGTGCACCCTAAGGACAGTGGCTGTGTGCCGCCTTTTATTTCCAGAGCTTGGCATTGTCCCTAGCATGTTGTAGGTGAATGTTGAATACAGGAAGTGATTAAATAAGTAAAGACAATCCTTCAGGATCTGCTTTTAGTTTTGTAAGTGGCATCTGTCTGGGACTTTGGATCATGGTTCAAAGTGGAGAACTACATGTGTTACCTGAAGACAGGTACATGGTAAAGCTAGGGAGGAAGCAGGAGGGTGGATGGATTGGGAAGAAGTTGGGTTATGGTGGTTAATATTTGTAGAAGGATAAATTTGAGAATTCACATTGTCATCATTGAATTGACTACACTATATATAAGGTAGTAAATTCCTGTCACTATATATACCCTGCATTATTTTTTAATAGTATTATTACCACCTGGCCTATATGTTTATTGTCCTCCCTCCAGTCTCTCTCAAAAGCAGGGACCTTATCTCCACCCCCTGCTTTAAAAAAATTTCTGTATTTTCAGCATTCAAAATAGTTCCTGGCACATAGTAAGTGCTCCGTTTTTTTGAATGAGTTTATAAATGAAGTAAAAGCTGACATTGAAACTCAAGTATACAATACATTGTTGAGTTGCCTGCTATTTCAGAGTTGGTATAAATCAGTGATCTAAATAGTATACTTACCTTTTCAGTGTGTAAATCTGTGTGCTTCTTTACAGAAGGCAAGCTCCAGTTGCAGCTGTGTTTGCAGGGAGTCCACAGTTAATGGGCGCGATTAAGTTATGCACTGGATGGATGGTGACCAGCTTGCCTCTTTACAATGATGATGATCTTCTCAGGAGAAATGAAAACGTAAGACATTTTCGATTATGCATTTGGATCTTTTTAACATTGCTCTTTATTTTAGTGTAGCTCTGTAATGATGTATATGTTCCTGGTTAGCTAGGAAAATCCAAACAATTTTAGAAAGTTAATTAGCTTTAGTTTTTAAAAAGCTGTGTAGTATGTTTAAGCAAGAGGAGAGCCAAAATTAAAATACTAACTTCCTTATTTATGAATAGTATTGATGTTTCTAGGAGAAACGTTTAATTTTCCACAAAGTTTCAAGGGAACTGACGTGTCTTATTTGGAAAATATCGTTGTTCTCAATCAAATTATTGAAGGAAGGAAGGCTGTCAGTTACTATCTTGATACATTTTGTCTTTCCAAGCTAAAATTCTGTCTCACTGTGGTTTATTTTTCAGTTTGGGCTGTTATTAATAACTTAGTATAACATTAGAATGATATTCTACTTACAGTTCAGAGAATATATTATTTTGAATGTTTAGTCTGGACATAAATGGTAACTTCATATCTGAGAGCAGTGACTAACTGAACCTGAATTCCAAATATTCTGTTTTTCAGTTGGAGAGAATTTCATATGGTTTTTAATCATGCTCTAAGCTAAGGAGGTAGTATTGCAATATAGAATTTAGCCTGTAAGAATGCAGACTCTGGAATTAGAATACCTGGACTCAAATGCTACTTCTGCCATGTACTAGCTCTGTGACTTGGAACAAGTTTCTTTTTTTTTAAGATTTTTTTTTTAAAGGTTTTATTTAAATTCCAGTTTATTAACATACAGTGTAATATTAGCTTCAGGTGTACAATATAATGATTCAACACTTCTAATCTCTACATCCAACATGGGGCTCAAATTTACAACCCCAGGATCAAGAGTCACATGCTTTACTGACTGAGCCAGCCAGGACCCCTCTTTTCTTTTTTTCTTTTTATTTGCATTTCCACAATAGCTTTTTTAAAAAATTGAGGTATAATTGACACCTAACATTATATTACTTTCATGTGTACAATGTAATGATTTAGTATTTATATATATTACAAAATGGTTACCACAACAAGTCTAGTTAACATCCATCACCATACATAGCTATAAAAAATTTTTTTCTTAAAATGAGAACTTTTTTTTTTTTTTTTTTTTTTTTTTAAAGATTTTATTTATTTATTTGACAGAGAGAGAGATAACGAGAGCAGGAACAGAAGCAGGGGGAGTGGGAGAGGGAGAAGCAGGCCCCCCGCGGAGCAGGGAGCCCGATGTGGGGCTCGATCCCAGGACTCTGGGATCATGACCTGAGCCGAAGGCAGACGCTTAACGACTGAGCCACCCAGGCGCCCCTTAAAATGAGAACTTTTAAGATAGACTCTCTCCTGGGCGCCTGGGTGGCTCAGTCATTAAGCGTCTGCCTTTTTTTAAATGTTCAATACAGTGTTATTAACTATAGTCACTATGTTCTACATTTATTTTGTAACTGGATGTTGGTACCTTTTGATTCCCTTTACCCATTTTACCCACCTCCCACCCCATACATCTGCAACCACCAATCTGTTCTCTGTATTAAAGAGCATGATTCCTCCAGCTTTGTTCTTTCTCAAGATTGCTCTGACTATTCAGGGTCTTTTGTGGTTCCATTCAAAATTAGGATTATTTGTTCCATTTCTGTGAAAAATGTCATTGGAATTTGATAGGGATTACATTGAATCTGTAGTTTGCTTTAGGTAGTATGGATATTTAAACAATATTAATTCTTCTAATCCATGAGCATAGAATATCTTCCCTTTTATCCGTGTCTTCTTTGATTTCTTTAATTTTGAGAAGTTTCTGAATCTGAATCTAGGAAGTTCTTATGTCCTAGTTACGAGAATTAGAGATAAATGCACCATGCCTGAAACATAGTAAACCTTAAATATTAGTTATTATTATGTTCTTATTTACTGTTAAATTGTACATGCACACATACACACATAGAAACATAGAAAGTACAAAGAGGAGCTCAAAAGCAGGAACAAGCAATTCTGCTTACAAAAATCCAAGTCTTCATAAAGGGCATTCCATTGATCTGGGCTTTGAGGGACTAGTAGAAACTTGTTTGGAAAAAGAATGCATGTGATTCCAGGCTGAAAAAGTAACAGCTATGAAATTTGTATAGCCATGAAACTAGAAAATAAAATGAGGCCAAATTCTGAAGGACCTAGACTGTCCTGCTGAAGAATTTAGACTCACCCTTGAGGCATCTGGGAGTTATCAAAGACCTTTAATAAGCCTGGGAATGGAATGCTTAGATCTGTTGTAGAAAGTTAATTATGGTCAGAGCAGAAAACAGACTGAAGCAGGGAGAGGTCAAAGATGAAGGGACCTACCTGGTGGTGATTTACCTGAGAGGTAACCCCCGCCTTCGACTAGTGTTTGCTGTTACTTTGAAAGGTAGAGTCGCTCAGACAGAAGGTATTTCACATATTCCTGAACTTTATTTCTTGTGGATTTCTTTGTTGTCTTACGATTAGTCTTTTCCTAATATAGAATTTCAGAATCACTTAGAATTAGGTCAGACTTTTATTTATTTTTAGAGATTTTATTTATTTAATTGACACAGAGAGAGAGAGAGTGAACACAAGTAGGGGGAGTGGGAGAGGGAGAAGCAGGCTTCCTGTGGAGTAGGGAGCCTGATGCGGGGCTCGATCCCAGGACCCTGGGACCGTGACCTAAGCCGAAGGCAGTCGCTTACCCAAGTGAGCCACCCAGGTGCCCCTAGGTCAGACTTTTAATTAGGTTCTAATTAAATTTAAACATTTTGGAGTTTTATGTTTTATGTGACTTGACTATGAGACTAGGCACCAGGAATACTGCTGAACATCCAACAATACACAGAACAGTCTTCCTCTGTCCCAACAAAGAATTATCCAGCCCAAAATGTCAGTAGTGCTGAGATTGAGAAACCCTGTCTATCAGTGATGTTATTGCCATTGCAAAGAGATGTTTTGTTTTTTTTTTAATGCCCCATGAGTATGTTACAGTTTCTCAAAATTTAAAAATAAAAATGTATATGAAAAACAATAAATAGATATAGGCTGGATAGAACTATTTCCATTGAAGCGTATTTAAAAGTAAAATGAGGGAGAAACTTCCTCTTGGTTTATTAGCATTCTGTGCACCACAGAATATTCAGGTGAGTATCTCTGTCGTATTGGCGGATGTTGGACCACAAGGTGCTGGATAACCAGCAACCCTAACATGTAGTAGATGGCTGCTGAGTATCAGGTTGGGATGTTGTCCAATCTAGATTTCAAATCTCAGTAGTTTTAGGGCATATAGTATGTGGTACTTTGGGCTGGACATTTGTGATTTTATTATTTTCTGAAGGGTAGCAAGAGCTACTCCTATGTTAGCATTTCAGAAAAACTGAAAAACCTTATTACTTAATAAGATCCAGAACTAATAAGGTCAGCAGACTTGTAATGAAAAACACTATGGAATTAAGACGTGAGTTTTATTTTATTTTATTTTATTTTTTTATTTTATAGATTTTATTTATTTATTTGACAGAGAGAGAGAGCACAAGCAGGGGGAGCAGCAGAGGGAGGAGAAGCAGGCTCTCTGCTGGGAGGGAGCAGGGAGCAGGGAGCAGGGATCCCGATGCGTGGGATCATGACCTGAGCCGAAGGCAGACGCTTAACCAACTGAGCCACCAGGCGCCCCAAGGCATGAGTTTTAAGCATTCTTGCTCATTCAGTATTTTGTGACAGTGGTCAAATTATGTTTAACCTTGCTGATTTTATCTCCTGTATAAATGAGTATAAAATACTCTGTACATGGTAATAAAAATTGTAGGAACTATTATAACTCAATAATAAAAAGACAGGCCAATTAGGAAATGAGCAAAAGCCCATTTGCAGCAATGTGGATGAATGTTCAAGGCATTATGCTAAGTGAAAGAAGACAGATAAAGTTAAATAACTATATGATATCCCTTATATATGGAACCTAAAAAAGCCAAACTCATAGAAACAGCCAAAAACATAGAAACATAGAAATAGTAGAGTCATGGTTACCAGGGGCCGGAGGGTAGGGGAATGGGGAGATATTGGTCAAAGTGTACAAACTTCCAGTTATCAGATGAGTAAGTTCTGGGGATCTAATGTACAGTATGGTGATTATAGTTAACAATACTGTATGTACATTCTTGAAAGTTGCTAAGAGAGTAAATCTTAAATGTTCTCATAAAAAAAAAAAAGAAATGGGGGTGCCTGGGTGGCTTAATCAGTTAAGTGTCTACCTTCGGCTCGGGTTGTGATCCTGGGGTCCTGGAATTGAGCCCTGTGTCGGGCTCCCTGCTCTGCGGGGAGCCTGCTTCTCCCTCTGCCTGACGCTCCCCCTTCTTGTGCTCACGCTCTCTCTCTGTCAAATATATAAATAAAGTCTTTAAAAAAGGAAAAAAAAATGGTAATAATGTGACACAATGGAGGTGCCAACTAATGTTATGGTAGTAATCATTTTGCAACATTTAAGTGTGTCAAATCAATACATTGTACACCTTAAACTTGCAGAATGTTATATGTCAATTATATCTCAATAAATCTGGGGGGGGAATGGCCAAAGGACTTGAATGGACATTTCTCCAAAGAAGATATACAGTGGACAGTGAACGAATTATGAATATAAGCTTCTTGAGGGAAGGAATCAAGTCTTAGTGAATATCTTTATTTTCCATAGATAGTGCTTAATACTAAATCATAGTAGATGTTCAATGTATAGTTTCAAATAACAAGTTTTAAATGTTTTAAAATTACTGTTTTAATTATATTCTTTCAGATCTATCAAATCTATTCAAAGCGATCTGCTGAGGATATTTATAAAATACTGACATCCTACAAGGCTAATTACCTAATTGTAGAGGATGCTATCTGCAATGAGGTGGGAACCATGAGAGGCTGTAGGGTTAAAGATTTATTAGACATTGCAAATGGCCATGTAAGTAACCATTTGAGAAAATCTTTTTGACAAAAAAATGACTTTTTTAAACTTTTACTCATCAAACCTTATTTCTAGAACTTAACTAAGAATGTAATTAAAAGTTATATGACAGTGGGGGAGTGCATTAAAAGTAGTTTGAAGTATTTTTTCAATGTACAAAAGAAATTTTGGGCATTTTTGCAGAAAAAAATAATTTTACCAATACCTGGGTTCCTTATTTGTTGGCTGTACTTGTTCATGTTCCACATTTATGTACAAAAGACGGCATAATTTGATTTGAATGATTATTTTACCTTTTTATAATAATCTAAAGAGCAGCTGGCTGCATTGTTACATTATTATGTTGAGAATTTTCTGATAATTTGATTCATAGCTAGGAGAATCACTTACTAAATTATCACAGTCCCTGATATCCACAAAAATTAGTGTATTCAGAGCTACTTTGGTTTTTAGGATTTAGCTGTATTTTAATTTTTCATTAATTTTGGCTGTTTTACAAAGCTTTTTTACTTCTCAGCCTGCAATGTATACATTATATATCTGACAACTAAAAGAAAGACAGGGGAGCTTGTATATCTGGTAATTAGTGTTGTCTGGTGCCTTTACTCCTGGGAAAGTTGGAGTTGGATGACCTTAGAAGAATTTCATTTGGCCATTCTGAGTTGACATGCATGTTCTAGTCAGGTTGCAGCCAAGATTTTTTCTATCTCTTCCTAAGTAATAGCTCTTTCTCTTATTGTCCCAGACCAGTTTGGAGGGGAGAAATGAGTTTTTATGATTTCCACCTTTGTCTTTCTTCATGACCCCTTCATCCTGTAATATAAATGTATTCTGTGTTCTGCTGCATGTATTTTGAATTTTCTCTGTTGGTACTTGATATCTGTGATCTTTGGCTTAATTGGTGACAAAATGGAATTTTATTAAACATCAGGTATTCAGTAATTACTGCTGTGTTGCTACCTGCTATCTGGGGCCTTTTAATTCTGATCTTGGCTATCTCTCTGCTCCATTTAAAAGATCAAATTATTTCTTCTTTCATGTAATACCAGGCATGGACTTAAAGCTACTCCATCTTTTTACTCTAAAAGTTGGTTCTCTGACATCTTTCCTAAGCATTAGAAGAATGTTTAATATTTTAGTATAGAAAACGCTTCAAGCTAGTTAAGCTATCTTAGTGAACATCATTAAGGTAAGAATGTAAAGGTTTGCACTGGATAAGTCACAAAAACTTGCTTACTAGATAATTGTAAGTCATTTCTACATAAGGAGAAAACTTTGAATATATATTAAGAATATGTCCATTTCTCAATCTTAGTAGGCTCTATGATAAGTCAGAGGAATGATAATGGACTAGGGAGATAGTCTTCCATATTTGAGGATTTTAAAATCTTTTTGAAAATCAGAAACACTTTATACTGGTCTCAGTCTCAAGGGGAAGCTGAAGAGTTTAATGGAGATGGAGACTCTCTTATAAAGAGAGTTCTAGATTTGCTAAACAATGTGAGATAGTCCATGTGTAGCAATAATGTATTTTTATATAAATATAGTCACTTGTACATTGATTGTGTTTCTCCTATAAACTTCATAGCCTTTTTAATACTGTGTTTCATATCTTTTGATAGGTGGTTTGCGAAGAAGGTGACAAGTTAACCTACTCAAAATATGGGCGATTTTGTCATGAGGTCAAAATTAACTATTCTCCATATGTGAATTATTTCACTAGAGTATACTGGAACAGATCCTACTTTGTATATAAAATCAACACTGTGATATCCTTTCAGTCTTGAAAGATAGCAGAGCCTTCATTTCAAAGACTTCCATCACTTGAAATAAAATGTGATTTTCTTCTTACCTACATGGTGTCTTCTAGAAATCAGAGTATGGACATTTGAAATGTTGCTGCTGCTTTTTCCCTCCTGCTGTTAACTGGATTCAGAGTTCTGCAGGGAATAGAACATCAAGCATTACTGTCCTTTGGTAAAATGTCAAATCTACCACTCTGTAATATTCTGGTCAGGTGTTTTCCTTATATAACGTTACATGGTCTTTAAAGACTTTATCTTCTCAACTGTTACAAAATTGTCCTCATAAATCTTCATTCTGTCATAACATAGGTCTTGAATTTGAATATGTTCAAGGTCAGAGTATATTTCTCAAACATAACATTTAATAAATATGTCATTTAATGTCATATAATTATAGACTAGAAGGAAGGAGCTCTACTTACCCTCAAGACAGTTTCTGAAGGTATTTCGTGGTGTATAATAGAATTGAAATATTATGATATTAATTTAAATGTTAGCTGAAAATATGTGACATTTAAATTAAAATTTGTTAACTGTATAAAGGAATGTGATTTTGAAGGATATACATAAAGGTATATCCAGATTTTCCATGATTTGCTTTCATCATCTGCTGCTTATATAACTGTGTACTTTCTTAGTAAAATATAGTACATGGTATTGCATTTTATTATTTTACAACTATTAAGTGGTTAACTTTTTTCACTTATGCCCATAAATTTAATACCAATTTAATCATGATAAAACAGTAACTCTTGTTACCTAAATATTTTTTAAAACAGATATTTAAAAGAATGTTGTTCAGGTTTTTAAAAGATATGGAATGGGGTATACAGTCTATTCACATATTTTATACTGAAGTATTAAGTGAAAAATTAAATCTTTATCAGAATAAGAACATTCTGATATTAATGACTAAAATGACATAACACTAAAATGAACAATTCCTGGAGATGGGGCAGATGCTACTAAAAATACTTATGCATACAGGTATGTTTATTATAAAACACAAATGCTATTATTTATGAAACTATGGTACAGTCTTCAACATTAAGAACAAAATGACAAGAACAAAATGACAATTATTATAAAATTCACAACACAGTTTCACAACCTAAATGCTACGTTCCTTTAGGTTAAGTGTTTTCATATTTTTAGTTATTTATTAAAAGAAATTCTTAAATGATTAGTTGGGCTGTATAAAGAGATTTGGGATAGATGTATCATTTTAATAAGACAGGATGCATGTTTAATTTTACCTTATACATGTTTAGTGAGCAGATTTTTAAAATTTTCACCTGTTAGAGTGCTGTAAAAATTACAATTTCAGCACTCTAAATTACTACATTAGAAGGGAACATCTTTTTGTTAACTTTATTTACTATTTTATATATATATATATTTTTTTTTAAAGTACAAAAGCACATGCATTCTTAGATTAGCTCTAGGATGTTTTGCTTTATTGGAGCTTCAGAATAATTGTTTGATGGCAGTGTCATATATCTGGTGCACTAGTTTTATTGGTTCTCATTTCATGCTTTTTATATAGTTTTTAACCATTATATTAACATAGTTAAAGGCAGGGCATTTCAGGTTCTCTATACATCTTAATAGTGAGTCACTAGTATTTAGCTTCAAGCCTTATGAAAACATTACTGTGGGGACGCCTGGGTGGCGTCTGCTTTTGGCTCAGGTCGTGATCCCAGGGTCCTGGGATCGAGCCCCACGTCGGGCTCCCTGCTGATCAGGGAGTGTGCTTCTTCCTCTCTCTCTGCCTCTCCCCCTGCTTATGCTCTCTCTCTCTCTCAAATAAATAAATAAAATCTTAAAAAGAAAAATATTACCGTGGTTACCTAAGTGTACAGCAAATAGTCACCTGGTAGTCCTTGTGATCAGAGCATGTAAAACAATGCAATTTCAAAGTCAGCTTGCATATTTTGAAAAGAAAATAGAATAACCTATGTGGCATGAAATATTTAATTGAATTTTTATTGATTTATATTATGATCAAATGTGCTGAATTATTTTTGATGTGTGTTTTTTGTTTTTAGCTTTTGACATATACATATTAGTTGCTTTTGCTTCTGTCAACTTATTTCTTAAATAGATTTGGAGAAACTTTTTTTAAATGATAAATATTCAGCATCAGTTGAAAAGGAAAGTGTAAGCTTTATTATAGAAGTGATAATATTGGATATGAGAGATTAGCTTACTTCTATTTTAACTGTAGTTAAAACAGTAGTAGTAGAAAACTGAGTGAGGAGCATTTAATTTTCTCGCTTATTTGTAGAGTAACAAATGATTAAAAATTATGTAAGTAATTCCATTTGGGTAATTTACAGTTGTTAGATTTGACAATAAAAATCCATGAAAGGAGCAAAGTTTATGGTTTTAGGATGGAAGGAATTTCTCAAAGAAATACAAAACATACTTTGCCCTTGATGTTGCAGAACCATTGAAATAAGTGCCTTAACTTCTGTTTACTTTTTATTTTTCAAACAAATATTATGGACTTTTTTCCATTCTGTAAGAAGATTTTGGTGTCTTTTTCCTCATCATTAAGCACAGAGGAAGACTCCTCACTATGCTATTTTCAGTATTAACTTTAATTCATTCATAAGCAAATCTTTGGTAAGGGTACCAGTGGGATTTCTAACCTGCTAAATTTATTGAGCTTCCCAAATGCCAAACAGTCCAACAAATAAAACTTAATTGATAAGGTATATGATATTGACTCTGTGCTGGTTTATATTTTTTTCCAACTTTGGCGCCTATAACTTGGTGCTTTTTGTTAGACCAGTAGGATTTTACAGCCTAGGGAGTATGCATTGTACTTCAGAACTAACTTTTTTCTTCATTGCTTTTTGTGTACATAAACAAGGATAGACATATATAAAAACAGCATGTTTTTTCAGGACATTAACCCAAACCGCCAGTAGCCTCACTGTTTTGGCCCTCTTCCATGTACTCCAGATCGACTCAAGGAGAAGCAGAAATGGAGGTCAAAGTGTGTTACAAGTTGGGGCTGGAAAATATGCTTTAAAAAAGTAGGTTATTAATTTCTTGAAGGGCACAGTGAATAGCCATCTTACTAAACTGTTTTGTTTTTGAAAAATCACTTGTTTTTTTGTCCTTTCTGTTTTTGAACTGTTAAAACATTTTATTGCCTTTAGTGGATAGATAAAAGTAGTGCCTCTCTTTATAAAATTGATGGGGTTTCTAAAAGTTCTATGTAAGTCAATCTTTTTGGTAAATTTATTTTAAATGCATGAATATTTAAAGATCACATGTTATGAATTATTCTGTATATTTAAGAACCTTTTGTAAAGCAAATAACTACTTCCTAATTTACATCCCAATATATTCTTTCTTCATTTGTCCACTTTTTAAAATATATAGGCTCTATTGTTGCTATTTGCTAATAGTTTTAGATCCCAATATGTATTGAAATTACAATTTTTGAAAAGTTGCAAGTAAAATTGAACAATTTCATATTAAAATAATAACTCATTATTAACTTTTTGAATGTTTAGAGTTAACACTTTAAATAAAATTAGATGTGAAACTTGCAAAGAATATATTTGACTCAACTATTTTCCATCCATTAAGGTTTCTAAACATTATACTTACTTGTTTTCTGTAATAAAAAGGGTCATTTAAGCACCAGATTTGCCAAATTTACCATAAAGTCATCTTTGAATTGTTTGCTTATGTCCCTTAGAATTGACAACATTTTGCCTGACCTCTGTAATCCTGTGTGCAGTTCTATGAGAGATACCCTGAACATCTGACCACAATATTTAGTGGATTAATGGTATCAGATAGAAACATGCATTCCAAACTTCTAATCTGAAATATCTCATGAATAACTTTTTTATATTTTAAGTTAATAGCTTTGTACAGCTATTTAGCAAAGGTGAATATAGCTGCTTTTATGTATGTTGACTTCTGAATCATATCTGTAACCATGTATAACAGATTAAATGTGTTCCTCCTGTACTAAAGTTCTGTCTTTGCAAAAGAATAAAAGTTAATTTCAATAAATATAAATCCTTTAAGAGTTGGGTTATAAACTAGTTTACTTCAGATTTTGTAACATTAAATGTACTTTTATCAAGAATGAAATTATTTATTTCATGCTTAATTACACTGCTTATTTTGTTTCTATAATAAAACTTTTTAGAATTTTAAATTGTTTTATTTATATACGTATCTTTTTTGTTATAGCTTTAATGAGACATAATTTATATACCATTCAGTTCACCCATTTAAAGTTTACAATTTGACAGTTTTTAGTATATTGAGTTGTACAGTTATCACCACGATTAATTTTAGAACATTTTTATCACCCCAGAAAGAAACCCCATACCTTTTGGCTGTCATCCTTAGGCAACTCTTACTAATATACTGTCTGTGTCTATATTTGCCTATTCTGGACATTTCACATAGATGGAATCATGATATATGGTCTTTTGTGACTGGCTTCTTTCATTTAGCATAACGTTTTCAACGTTCATTCATGTTGTATGTATCTTTTTTTATCGCCAAATAATATTCCATTGTATGGATGTACCACATTTTGTTTATCCATTCATCATGGTGGATGTTTGGGTTTCCACTTTTTGGCTATTATGAACAATGCTGCTATGGACACTTGTGTACAAATTTTGGGGTGAATATAGGTTTTCATTTTTCTTGAATATATGTCTAGGAGTAGAATTTCTGGGTTATATGATATCTATGGTAACTGAGGAACTGCCAGACTGGTTTTCAAAATGGCTGTACCGCTTTAACAATCCCTGCAACAAATATGAGGTTTCCAGTTTCTCCCTATCCTTGTCAACACTTGCTTATTACCTTGCTTCCTGATTGTAGCCATCCTAGTGGATGTGAGTGGTATATTACCACATTTCAATTATGGCTAATGATGTTGAGCATCTTTTTATGTGCTTACTGGCCATTTGTATATTTTCTTTGAAGTAATGTTCATTCAAATTATTTGCCCATTTTTTTCAAAAATTGGGTTGTCTTTTTATTATTGAATTGTAAATGTCTTTATATATTCTAGATACAAGTTGCTCATAAGATACATGATTTGAGGGGCGCCTGGGTGGCTCAGTCATTAAGCATCTGCCTTTGGCTCAGGTCATGGGCCCAGGGTCCTGGGATCGAGCCCCACATTGGGCTCTCTGCTCGACAGGAAGCCCGCTTCTCCCTCTCCCACTCCCTCTGCTTGTGTTCCCTCTCTTGCTGTGCCTCTGTCAAATAAATAAAATCTTCTTTTTTTTAAAGATTTTATTTATTTGAGAGAGAACACATGAGGGGGGGAGGGTCAGAGGGAGAAGCAGACTCCCTGCCGAGCAGGGAGCCCAATGCGGGACTCGATCCAGGGACTCCAGGATCATGACCTGAGCCGAAGGCAGTCGCCCAACCAACTGAGCCACCCAGGCGCCCCCAAATAAATAAAATCTTAAAAAAAAAAAAAAGATACATGATTTGGAAATACTTCCTTCCATTGTTTGGGTTTGATTCACTTCCTTGGTAGTGTCCTTTGAAGCACAAATGCTTTTAATTTTGATTTTATTGTTAATCACATTTGATGTTATTTTTTTTTTACATTTGATGGTATTGATAGAGCATTTTATTTATTTATTTATTTATTTATTTTTAAAAGATTTTATTTATTTATTTGACAGAGACACAGCTAGAGAGGGAACACAGCAGGGAGAGGGAGAAGCAGGCTTCCCGCCGAGCAGAGAGCCCGATGTGGGGCTCGATCCCAGGACTCCGGGATCATGACCTGAGCCGAAGGCAGATGCTTAACGACTGAGCCACCCAGGCGCCCCCATTTTATTTTTTTTTATTTTTTTTTAAGTATAGAGAGATTTTTAATGAATTCAAAGACGAAAAAATATAATTTATCAGTAAATCCAAGAACTGTTTATTTATTTATTTATTTATTTTTATTCTTATGTTAATCCCCATACATTACATCATTAGTTCTAGATGAAGTGTTCCATGATTCATTCTTTGTGCATAACACCCAGTGCTTCATGCAGAATGTGCCCTCCTCAATACCCACCACCAGGCTAACCCATCCTCCCAACCCCCTCCCCTCTAGAACCCTCAGTTTGTTTTTCAGAGTCCATCGTCTCTTATGGTTCGTCCACCCCTCCGATTTCCCCTGCTTCATTCTTCCCCTCCCGCTACCTTCTTCTTCTTTTTTTTTCTTAACATATATTGCATTATTTGTTTCAGAGGTACAGATCTGAGATTCAACAGTCTTGCACAATTCACAGCGCTTACCAGAGCACATACCCCCCCCAGTGTCCATCACCCAGTCACCCCATCCCTCCCACCCCACCCCCCACTCCAACAACACTCAGTTTGTTTCCTGCGATTAAGAATTCCTCATAGGGCGCCTGGGTGGCTCAGTTGGTTAAGCGACTGCCTTTGGCTCAGGTCATGATCCTGGAGTCCCGGGATCGAGTCCCGCATTGGGATCCCTGCTCGGCGGGGAGTCTGCTTCTCCCTCTGACCCTCCGCCTCTCATGCTCTCTCTATCTCATTCTCTCTCTCAAATAAATAAATAAAATCTTTAAAAAAAAAAAAAAGAATTCCTCATATCAGTGAGATCATATGATACATGTCTTTCTCTGTTTGACTTATTTCACTCAACATAATACCCTCCAGTTCCATCCACGTCATTGCAAATGGCAAGATCTCATTCCTTTTGATGGCTGCATAATATTCCATTGTATATATATACCACATTTTCTTTATCCATTCATCTGTCGATGGACATCTTGGCTCTTTCCACAGTTTGGCTATTGTGGACGAACTGTTTCTTTAAACACAACATTCCAATATGAATGAAAATGACAAAAAGCTAATCCCATCACAACAAAAGACAGAAAATAAAAATAAATTTTTTTATTGTTATGTTAATCCCCATACATTACATCATTAGTTTTAGATGTAGTGTTCCATGATTCATTGTTTGTGCATAACACCCAGTGCTCCATGCAGAACATGCCCTCTTTAATACCCATCACCAGGCTAACCCACCCCCCTCACCTCTAGAACCCTCAGTTTGTTTCTCAGAGTCCATCGTCTCTCATGGTTCGTCTACCCCTCCGATTTCCCCCCCCTTCATTCTTCCCCTCCTGCTATCTTTTTTTTTTCCCCTTAACATATATTGTGATAGAGCATTTTAAAAAAATACTTATTTTAGAGAGCAGAGGGGGAGGGGCCAAGGGAGAGGGAGAGAGAGAACCTCAAGCAGACTCTATGTTGAGCTCGGAGACCCATGCAGGACTTGACCTCAGGACCCTGAGATCATGGCCTGAGCTGAAATCAAGGGTTGGACGCTCAACCGACTGAACCACCCAGGCACCCTGATATAGCATTTTTACTATGATGTGTTTGAAGTAGATCTGCATGTATCCTACTTGGGGTTTGTTGAGCTTCTTGGTTATATACATTAAGAATTTGCTTTAAATCCAATTTGCAACTTCTTATATTCCTATTATACATATGTTGGTGTGTTTAATGGTAACCCATATTTCTCTTAAGCTCTGTTCAATTTTCTTCGTTTTTTTTCCTTTGTTCTTTGAATTGCATAATCTCTATCAATCTATCTTCAAGTTTGTGAATTCTGTCAGTTCAAATCTACTTTTGAGCCTTTCGAAATTTCCATTTGTGTGTGTGTGTGGGGGGTGTATGCGTGTGCACTGCGTCTATACCATTTTTATCTCTATTGATGTTCTCCGCTTATAGTAACACTGGTTAATAGTCTCCCTGTCATCCCCTGGAGCTTGTTATTATAGTTGGCTTCTTTATTTCCTTAGTTTTGGCTGTACTATTTTAGTGATGTCTGTTTCCTCCGCATTATGGCGCCTCTGATGTCAGGCCTCAGACATCACTGCCTTGAGCATGTACACAGTCACCCTGGGGTGACAGTGGTTTTAACAGGGCTCCTTACTGTCTCTTTCCTTGATCTTATTCAGCTGTGAAACTCTACTAGTTAGCCCTCGATTGTTCTGTTGTTTTCAACAATCCCCTGGGGCATTAATTGCGCCACAACCTGATCCAATTAAATCCTGTCTGAAGGGGTAGCTTTGGCAGGGGACAGCCAATGATTGTGGTTCGTTCTAATGCCAAGAGGGCTCTTCTTTGCTGTCTCTTTCCCTGCTTGCCTCTGGTAAACTATATGGGCTATGATTTAGCTTGTATCTTTTATGAAGCTACCAGCTTCTTCTTAATTGCTTTCCACCAAAATCTTTGTTGTTATGAGTACCCTTAAGCTTGAACTTCCCTACACTCTGTTTCAAATAAAGGCACTTCTTTTGGAGATACCTGTGGAGCTCTCTGTTTCACATCCTGGTTTTCTCTGTAGACAAAAATCACTGAGCCACAGCTCTGGAGCCTGGAGTGAGTTAAGGGTCTCAGTGGCCCTCCTACGTTAGGAGCAGTCTTCTGGGTAGAGATGATAGCCTCTCTGCTCTGGCCGTGGCTCTCCCAATTTGGAACCTTCACCCTACAAATTAGCTGGGAAGAGAATGACCAATGTGCCATGGCTGAGATAGAGTCTCTCCTCTTAAGAGTGGGGGCTGGTAGTGATGAGAGAAAAACTCTAAAGGCCTAGTACCCAGGGGAAACCATTTTAGATTTCCTTCTAAGTCAATATGACTGTCTGTAAACTTTGTTCAAAACCAAAAGCCTGATTTGTGGCCCAGCACATATGCATTGTACATCTGCTTTGTGAACAAGTAGCGTAAAGGAAAACCATCTTGTCCTTGAGATATCTATTGACCAATGTTACTAGTCCCAGCGTTCCTTTATGATAAAACTTGGGATTCATGCCTGTATGCTAATCTATAATCTTTTGAGCTTTTACAAGATGTGAAAAAGTATATGACCCTGTGAAAACTGTTCATTTTCAAGAACACTTTCTTTCTTTCTAAGATTTTAAGTAATTTCTCCACCAAACATGGGGCTCGAACCCACAACCTGGATGATCAAGAGTTGCATGCTCCACTGACTGAGCCAGCCGGGTGCCCCCAGAACACTTTCTTCTCTGTGAAGAGTGTTTCCTGGGCAGCTGTCCTAACTTGGGCTCTAATAAAACTCTTTTTTCTTTTAGAGATTCTAAAAGGTTGGTTCAAGTTGTGTTGACCAGTGAAAGAAGGT